TGGCGACGCTCTACTAGTGAACAAGAAGTTTGCAGAGCATCTCGAAAGTTGGAAAGAGCGTCAGCAATCAGCACACGACTTTCTCTCCTCTCTCCTCTACTTTGGGCCACCAGATGACGAGCGCGTCCGTGTTGAAGAGATCCAAGAACCCGGCCCGAACGGACATGCCGTCCACGTCAGCTATCCCTTCGGGCTCACTATCAAATATGTTGAGATTTGGGATCCTTTCGGCCCAACCATCACTGACAAAGACATCTCTGCCTTGGTGCTGTCGCTCGAGACAAGGAGCGGAGGTGCTGCAGTGAACAACAAGCGCAGCGAGCAGGGATGGGACCTCCTTGAGGTTTTCGAGGTTGCTGTTCTTGATGCCAGCGAAGAAGACAGCATCGATGAAACCTTCCAGAGCAAGCTGAGCAGCACCGAGATTCGTCGAAAACGAAGCGAACGTGTTCAATCCAGAGCGAAAGCGTGACCCGATAGGCGTGGCCGGGCGGGTTGATGGCGAGACACGTCTTTGAGTGTTTGCCGTGCTGGAACAGGCCCAGGCGATATGTGAGTAGAGTTTTCGCCGGCACGAGAGGTCGACAAGTCGACGAGGCAGGAGGTCATCTAGTGTCATTTTCTGTGCGACGATCTACGACAGCTGCGTGCGCCATAGCTACACGACCGCGCAGGTCCGCATGACGTTACCAGGGCGAGTATAGGCTTGTGAAGCAACACGTCGATCTGACCGGCAGTTCCACGCATGCATCGTCATCGGCGCATGTACGAGCGGGATTGCGGCCATGTCCTCTCCGTCCCGAATTTGTGCGATGACCGAATTCGGGTCGCTTGCGTCTACACAGATGCTTGTATACTATTTACATATTGCACGCCGTACTTCGTGTGCTGTAATGGAACTTGCATGCTATCATCTCCTGCCGAGCAGGACAGATGACGCACTGCAACAGCGTACGCACATTGCGAGACATACAGACACCCGTTTCAGCCCACTATGAGGCTCCTAAAGCTCCGTGTCGTCATGAGATGCCCATCGCTTCAATGGCGTTTGCGCCATCCCAAGTACACGGCAGTGGAATCGGCCGGATGACGCATCTGAAGCGCTTGTGACGCCAATCAGCCGACCTCCAGATGCATGCTTCGTTGGCAACGCATCGAGACCATCCATGGATGGAAATTCGTGTAGTGGGCTGTGGGGAGCAGGCCTTCGGGCCTCGAATCAGCGCAGGCGTAACAGCCAGCCCTAGCGAATTTGTGCAGTAGTCCACAGCGGCCATTCGACTCTTCTTCGCGGGAGGAGCCATGCATGTTTACCGTCCTGCTTATGTAAATGCAGACGCTAGTGATCATGTGAGACGTTATGCCCGTTGCAGTTTAATGCATCGCGGTTTGGGCGAGGGCGTACCGGGGTGCACGCTGCAAGTTGCAGGCGGCGTGTCCAGTCCCAGGTCGTCTTCGCAACTCTACGCTTAGCTGACTGCTGGCAGAGAGGTCATGCATTTCTTTCTCCGACCACGCCCCTCTGGCTGTCCTTCGCTTGCTATCCCATAGATCGGTGCCGGCTGTCGGATAACACCACGTTGTCAGTTGACTCGACTGTCCCGCTGTCGCTACGCTCACTACCACCTGCCATTCCCTCCTCCCGATCCGGCCCGAACGCTGCTGCCCTGCATTGAGAGTATATCCGCTGTGCGGTGCGCTCCTAAATCGCGCTGGGAAGCTTCCTGAGCAGAGCTTCTTCGGAGCGGTCGTCATGAATGTGACCACTTAAAATGGGTATCCTCGATCTCGCCGACGAGCTTCTTCGCATCATCCTCGAATATGTTGCGAGCGAACCAGAAAAACCGATAAGTCTGGAGCGCCGCGCATACCTGTCGCAGGAATCTTTCAAGCTGCCCCTCCCACCTGAGCCCGACGATGCCGAGACGATTGCGAGCTTTAGGTAAGTTTTATGGCCTTACGGAATGCATGTGAGACATACACTGACTTCGTATCTTCGCCTTTGTAGATTGACTTGCAGAAGATTCAGCAATTTGGTGAGTACGGCTGTACGAAGTGCACGTGAGACATGTACTAAGCCTCTGCAGGGTGTCATCCATCAGTTCTCGCGCGTTACGACACGCTTCTCGCGAAAGGGACTCGAAAGATTAGAGAGAATAGCTGGCCAGCCTCACATTGCCGGCCGTGTGAAGAAGTTCAGTTACATGGTGCCATTCTTCTACGATCAAGGACGAGAGCGCATACAGGAGCTCCTCCAAACACGGCCCGAGAGTTTCAGCTTCCTTGAGATCGAAAAATTCCAGAAAAAGGTGAATGAGCAGACCAGCCTTCTGAACAGCAGGAAAGATGCACATATCCTGCATTTCGCGCTCCAGCGATTCACTTCACTCCAGCATATCCAGATCCTACGCCTGCAGGACCAGGAAGATGCCGTGTTAATCACGTACATGCGGGGTCACAACGAGTTGAACGGTCTAGTACCGACATGGCCACCGGCATGCTTGCATAGCGCGAAAACAATCGGTCAAGCAAGTAATATCCGTGTACGGATTGATAGGAGACATTTACTAACTTCGACCTCGGTCTTCAGGCCCTCCTTGAGTCCGAATCGCCATGTTCGCGATTCTCATCCCCCATGCTAAGCCCGCAGAGCGTACTAGGTGCCGCTAGCAATCCGCCATCAACCCTGGGAATCCTTGCCGAACGCCTGACCTGTCTAGAGCTACATTTCGATGACAGCACGGACCTAGACGTTCGGATGCGACATCTCACCTCCCTGTCCAAGGCATTGTTTACTGCGGCTAAGAATATTGAAGCCGTGCATATTGGCTTTCCTTCATACCGACCACTCACATTGCGGCTGGAAGAGCTTTTCCACAACGTCAAGTGGGAAAAGCTGCAGGGTACGTTTTGCGTCTCTGCATCATGAGACATACACTAACCTGATATCTCCGTCTTTGCAGCTTTTGGGATCCAAGCCTGGCGTCTGAACGCAGATGAAATTCTGGGGATTGCCCGGCGACACAGAGATACATTACGTGGTTTGCGTCTGCGTGATGTACTCTTGAAAGAGGGAAGCATGTGGAAAGACGTGCTTCCCTGTCTACGCGATGAGCTCACAAGGCTTGACTGGATTTCTCTTAGGCGGATTGGATATGAGAAGCAAGTAATATCCGTGTACAAACGGTTGTGAGACTTTACTGACTTTGTACATCAATCTTTAGGCACTTCGACGAGCAGTTCGTTATGGGAGCCGAAGTACCAGAAGACGACCCTCTTGGAAGCGACAGTAGCGACGAAAGCGATTACGAATACGAACACGAACATGACGATCAGTCTAACGGGAATGACGCTGATGGCAGTTCAATAGCTGACACGGAATCTGACGCAGAGACCGACGAGCCTGAACAGGGTGGTAAGTTCTGGCTTTACGAAGTGCGTGTGACATATACTGACCTCTACAGGCACCCTTTCCTTCCCGCCTATGCCCGATACCCCAGCCTCGATTACATGGTGCAACTGCAACGGACACATGGATGGCGTCGACGTCTTAGGAGACGACGACGGAATCATGGTCACCAATCAGCAGCGCAAGTTCTGGGAGAAGTGGGTCGTAAGGAAGATCTGCACCGAGCAGCATGGCCACAAATGAGCGGCCGAAGAAACCACCAGAAAAGGAAGCGAAGCTATGCGTAATAAAGCCGCAACAACATCTGTTGGGTTGCGTTGCGTGAGGCGGGCGTAAGAAGAAAAGCAATTATCCATCGAACCGTGTTGCAGCCCTGGAATCATTATATGCAGGCGCGATCACGTTTTGGATCCCGTATGCGGTCTACGGACCGCATATGCATGTGGAGCAGCAGCCACAGCACCATTGACGGGCGCTTATGCGACAACCCAACAACCCGTCACCTGGTCACTTCCACCCCATCTTCGTCAGTCGTGCGAACGCAGACTGTGCCGTATCGTTGCAGGTTTTTTCTGGGCCGGACTAGTCGATTTCACGCATTCGCTTCTTTGGAATGGTCGGACGAATCATGCGGCAACAGAACCAGGAACTCCAATCTTTTCGGCTACCTGTCTTGAATCCGTACTTTGACTGTCAAAGCATAGCGCCGGCGCAGCGAACGACACTTTCGCATACCACTTGTTCGAGAGGGATGGTTCACGTCCAAAGTCTTCTGTTGCACCAAAAGTTGTGCGCTTTGCATTCTGCTTTTCTATCCTTTTTTTATCAGCTCTTCGACGCCAGTAATGAATGTAACGTAGCGTGGGAAGGAATCTGCTTTTCAATTGATTGAATCATTATAGGTATCTTCACTTTCTGCTTCTTGTCTATCACCTGCTGTCGCGGCGATGATGTCGAAGAGTGAAAGTGGGGTATAATCGGAAGGTACATGCGATCACTGGTCCGGCTCCCACCACACGGCATGCGTCGATATTCACCCGTCTTTCTCTCATACATTCTTGAACAGACCACACTCACCGAGTTCTGATTCTCGCATACAATCTCTAACGCTGCACTGACAAGCGAGGATATAATAAAGAGTATGCCGGCAAGCCTCACTACTAACGATGAAGCAAAACGACCAAACCCCATACTCAGCTACTACATCGACCTGAGCTGTACCCACCCACTCCGCCATACTAAATCATCTCTGACACACTCAAGAACAACTTTTTCAGTACGCCCGATCATTACCTTGATGTATGCGGGCGCGCTGGCTCACTGTCCTGGAGAATGCGCTACACCGAGTAGAGATGCCTCTTTCACCTCACCACGCGAACCCGCGCTCATGACACGTCGGACGCGCCGCGACAAGATTGTCTGGCGCGTAGACGCGACTTGAGTCCGACGCGCCTCGAGCTGGATGCCTGGTGGGTTGAAAACTCTTCAAACCGCATAACATCTTCTCTCTTCCAATCTCAGCCGACTGCAACTTTCGCTGTTTCATCTACCATTCATTACATCCGAAGCAGCAAATACATACTACATCGCAATGACGAGACACGTTTGGAGAGCAGCAGATGCCGGCGTGATGCTGTGGGAACCGGCGGTGGCAGCGACACCTCCAGCCCCGCACCAGTCGCAGATGCCGCAGCAATTGCATGAAGTAACCGAAGTTGACATTCAAGGTAAGTGGTTACCAGGCGTCTTTCCGTTTTTTTCTATAAGCAGGCACTGACAACTTCACAGCCTCCTTAACAAGCAGCTACGACGACACCGAGCAAGACTCGGTGCTTCCTTCGACCGAAGATGTCTTTGGATCATATATCAAGAGCGAGCCTGGCAAAGACATTGATGCAGTTGTGTCGTCAACGGTCGGTACCTCCGCTTCGAATATATCCAAACAGCGTTGTTCTTCGTACGATTCTCAAGCTACACTACCATTATCGACGCCTTGCCCGTCGGACGAAGAAAGAGATCTTCCTGTTATACTTTGCAGTCCTGCGAGGACGAGCCACCACTTCAACGTTGGCAATACCGTACCCACGCCACAAGTCCGAAGGACTCTGGACTTCGGTATGCCAGCCTTTCGCCACACCAATGACATTGTACAACAAGTCTCTGAGCCTAGCGACTTCACTTCGCTGGCAGCACTGCGAAGGCTGGAACGAGATCCTCCCCACCACTGGCATGAAGACGAACGAGAACTATTAACCATCCTTTATCGATGGTACGAAGACACAGATGTGGCAACCATTCCGAAGGTCTTCAATGCTATCACCGGCCTCAACCTCAGGCTCAATGTCATTCGATACCAATTCGAGAGCCATCTAATCTTGTATGGTGGCCGCGCATACCCCGAGTTCGATCGAGTGATGAAAGTCCCGTTCCCCGACCCCGATCATAAGTACGACGAGATCCACACGATCATCGAAGAGACTGCATATGATTCAGGAATTGACTTGTCACGACGCACACACGAGGTGAGAATCGAGTCTGGCTTGGCGAGAACTGCAAAGTCTCCCAAGACGAGGAAGCATTATAAATCCTTGGTTAGACGTGCGCTAAAGAAGGAAAAGGAGAGAGCACGCGCGCTTCGCACGCCAGCTCCGGAAGCACTACCATTGCAGGTCCTACAGCTCGGCGGGATGACATTAGCTGAGCAAGACAACGAGGAAACATGGTCAGACGTTGATGGCCATCACACACCTCCCATCACACCCACTCAGTCACGCCCACGGGCTCCTCCTGGCAGAAACAATGTTGCGTTTCGCGTTTGGGATGCAAACAGCCGGACCACATTTGACGACGAGACAGGCTTCGTGAGCGAATTCTTCTCAACATGGAGAGGCGACTTTCTGCCGCCATTCTCCCCAGACGGGCAAGGACAACAGGCTATTATGATGCTGACGAACATCCATCTTTCCATGAGTGGCGGCGCATCAGCTTTTGTCTCAGTATCTACGAGTCTCTTGCAGGCACTGGTCAAGGCCTCAACAATGGTTGAACCCAGGATTGCCGTCAGTACGTTGAAGCCCCACATCATGTATCACGTGGATCTCATGCTAATTAAGGTGGCTTCCTCTAGTTGCACTCGACCATCCACTGCTCACAGAACCACACAAGACTCTGCCAGCAGCAGATGTCATGCGGATGCTAAAAGCGGAAGGCCAGGCATGGTGGGCAAGATACAAGGGCCATGCAGGTGAAGGACCAATGCGCTGTACATATTGTCATTTTGTTAACACTTCTCAGAACGAATGGTTTGGGCTTCCGTCCCAGCTGCAGCCGTTCTCTCACACTTTCCACTTTCCGATCTCACTGTGTTATCACGCCACAACCAAGCTTGCGATGATATCCTCAACCTGCGGGATATACAATCCGGCCGAAAGACACAGTACGTCTCCTCACTCTTGCGCGACAGGAACACAATCATCAACATCCGCACGGCACGAGCAATGGCCGTGGTCTGTCGAGCTTTCAAGATGCACCGTGTCGGCGTCAGCCTTGCGCATATACAAGGACTGGTCTCGTCGTTGGTGGATTCATTTCAATTGAAGCACGTCACAAGCGATACACCTCGCATGTCTATGATGATGGCCAAAGCATTCGCCGTGTCTCTCGTGTCGCAAGCTCATCTGGACCCTGATGTTGAGACCGCTTTTCAGGAGGGCATTCAGCAAGGCACCGTCAGTAATATCCGTGTATAGACTGTTGTGAGACATTTGTTGACTTTATAAATTGATCTACAGGCTACTATTGAGTTCTACACGCGCCGTCGGCCAGTAGGGCCGCGACGACGGAGTAGCTGAGAACATCTCAGCAACATCTCTGCGCACAATCGATATTACCAGCAAACAGCTTGTCTCAGATGTTACAGTTCTGTTACGAATACAGGAGTATAGGAAAGTACGAGGAATAGCCACCAGCATGATTTACCAAGCACGTTCGACGAAGTGCTGATGTCATACGATATCCGAGCTTTGTTAAAGATGTCATAGATTGTGTATGGACTTATTGAAGTGTGGAATAGTTGGGAACATGCTGTAGAATGCAGAAACATGCTACTTAATTCAGGCCTTCCGAAACATGGAGCGTGCAATAGAGCAGGATGTCGCTCCCACGCTTACTCGCTATCAGGCCTCCTTTCCCTCGCCTCAGACCCAGAACCTCCAGAAACCTCATCACTCGCTTCACTCTCACCACCATTCGTTTCCACACCATTCGTTCCCGCCCCATTCGTCTGCCCCGCCTGCGCCGCACGATCCCTCGCCGCAACATGCCTCATCATCTCCTCCTCCATAGTCCCCCTCTGTCTACGAATCTCCCGCCACATCTCCTCCACTTCCGCAATCTCCGCATCCATACTATCTTCACTACTCTCTTCACTATTTCCCGTGCTTTCCTGTTCCACAATTCCCCTCTCCACTAGCAAATTTTCCCTAGCGGCTCTCCTCATGTCCCTCGCATCGCGACGCCGCCTAAGTGTTGCAGTAGGGGTTTCGTAAGCACCGTTACGGTGGAGCTCTACGCTCTCTGATAGCTCTCCGTTCGTAGGCGGGTTGGAAGTGGGAACAGTGTCGCCGTTTGTACTTCCGACGGCGGAGTTGACAAGCGTAGTTCCGCTTAAGGATGCGCTCCGGGAAGAGCGTGTTGAAGACTCTGATGAATTTCTCGTGTCATTTCCAAGATAGATACTTGGGGGAATGATCTGTGTCGCCGTCGCGTACCCATTTGTTCTAGCTTCCGTTGCTTGATTCGGACGGAGAGGGATTTCCTCATCTATTCCACCTTCGGCGCGGATCGCGCGGAGGCGTAGAATAGGGCCGTCGAGGGCGTACGATACGGAGCCCCAGTCTCCAATTGCTTCGTTCAATTCGGGGGTGGAGAGGCGGGGTCGCGGTCGGATGTCATCTGGATCGGCGGTAACTCGCTCTGGGGATGGGGTTTGAGTGTAGGCGTTGGAGGCGTGGGTTCGACCATTTGTGAGGGGAGCGCCATTGGCACTGGTGTTGTTTGGCGTTACGATGCCGGCGTTGATGTGGAAGGTGTTTGCAGTCCCGTTTCTGTTGTAGTTGGTGCTTCTTCCGCTCCCGCGACTATCACCATTGTGATATTCGCTGTTAGGCTCACGAATCCACACATCTTCACTCAGATCTTCCACGCCTTCGTGATCGACAAACCCGTTTACAGCCTCAAGGTGAACAGCCGCCGTAGTCAACAACGTACGACGGTGATTGTTCGGGTCGGTGTAACCCAAACCCATCGCTATGGTGTATCTAACCATGATATCCCTGATGACCCTGGAGCCGATGGAAGGTCTCAAACCATACAGGACAACCAAGAGTGGCCGAATGATTTCTCGTGCGTCGGCGTAGTCCTCTTCATTAGAGCCGTCATTTGTAGGTTCGTAGATGTAGCCATAGAAACGATTGTCATTGGAAGGAAGGTGGTTGTTTACATGACCGTTTGGGAGTGAAGGGTACTGGATGTTGCCATTGGTTGAGGGAGTATGAGTATAGCCGTTAGTGTAGCCGTTGGGCTGATGAGCATGTCTTTCTCCACTGGGCATGTTGGTCGTTAAACGAGTTGGCTCAATTTCATACCAACCATCTCTGGGTGCGACATGCCGAACATGTCCATTCGTCGTTGCTTCACGCCTCGAAGCATTATCCAAGAACGATCTTTCGTATTCCTCGATGATAGTGCGCATGGTTCTCAGTCCTAGTTGTGGCGTTATACCAGTCAGAACATCCGTTAAGATGGTCCGGCGCCACAAGCCTCCAGGATCATTTCGAATGACTATCCTTGTGGGACGGGGGCCGCGTGGGGAGGGGTAGAGGTTATTCAATCTCTGACGTATGGGGGAGGTTGTGATGGTAAAGATATCGTAGTTGGTGGAATCAAGACGAGGTATTCGAAGATGTCCATGCGTTGTGGGAGTATGGCTGTCGTCATTCGTCAGGAGCGTAGGCATGTCTTCTTCGACTAGCATTCTAGCGCGAGTCTCTACGTTTCCACCGGCGCGTACAGCTTGTGTAAGTATGCGCAGTTCATCTCTCGATGACGTTGAACCTTCTTCAGGGCTGGGTGGTAAAGCACTGGCCGCAGCTGCTTCCAGTACTTCCTCATCGTCCAGTATAGTGACTTCTCCGCCCCGTATGCCGTGCACGTTTGACATATGGTGCGGCTCATCGAGAATACCGTCAGCGGGATGACCACTGGAGCAACGAGTCCTGTTTATCATCGACCTCTGTATCATACGGCAAGCCAGCTCTCTGGCCCGCTGCTCATCCAGAAACTCGTCGACATCGAATGGCTTTCGTACAGGTACTTGTCCTGCATGGCGCCCATGCACTTCTCTATCTCCATCATCTTCCATTTCTGCTTCATCGCCAGCCTCATCTGCTGTCTCTTCGCGACTTCGATGCCGCCTTTCCATATCTCTTACTTCGTTTTCCAGCTTTCTTGTCACCTGCCTCTCTCGATCAACCATTCTTCTCAAAGCTCTGACTTCTTCAACGAGCGATGGTACAATATCCTCGAGATCTTCGAGGTTATCCACTCGATCTTGAGTCTCCGGATGTGCTTCAGGGGCCCGGAAGTATGTAGCTAAAGAGAAGAGGAAGGAAGATATGGCAAGGGCAGGAAAGGTGGCCGTTAGGAGGATGATGAAGTTGCTACTGTTCATTTTGTGTTCGTACAAGTATTGTTTCTCGTTTGTGGAGGAGGGATATATGGGTAGTAGGAGCGTCAGAGATAGCTTTTGAGGAGGGAAGCCTCTGATGAAGTGTCAAGTTGCGATACATGTTCGACATGCTTGACGCTTGAAGTTGTGGACCCGTCAATCAAGTTGGTCACTGTGGGTGTGCTCTTTTGCGCGCTGGTCACAAGACAATTTCAACCTGATGGGCCTGTGAAGAAGTCAATCAATGAATGCAGCTTGTAACGGTTACAGTACTCTTCACCCGCACTCGTGATGGCGGTGAGACTCACACAAGAAATGATACAAGCTGTATCTCTCCTTCACACGATGTGATAAACATCTCCCCATCATCAAATCTCCGGTATGCCGTGGCTATTCGCCTTAACGACAATCACGACCTTACGCAACCAAATGCAAATTCGACTTTGCACAACTAAGTCCGTAATGTTTGATGAATATACAGGTTGGTATTATATTACTTGTGAAGTGTATGTATGTACAAAGAAACCCCGGTCATCGTTTCATTCGATGTTTAACCAGAGGCAGCAATGACCAAGGTGTACTGGGCAACCTGCGAGCAGACGAAGTCGTTAGGACCGTTACCACCGGCGTGGCAGTAGGTGGGAACAACGCCCTGACCCCAGAAGCCGACACTGTTCGCATATGTTAGTCTATCGTCCAAAGTCTGTCTCACTTGATGTACGTACGCAGTGCCAAGCTCGTGGTAGAGAGTGATGGGGTAGTCGCCGTTGATGTCCTTGGTCATGGCGAAACGGTACTTGCTGTCGCCGCAGTTGACGATAGGAGCGGGGAGAGTAGGGTAGGGTCCGCCGACGCAGGAAAGGTCGGTGGCGTTGCGGCCGTCAATCTTGAATGAGACGGACTGGAGGGTGCCGTTGTTCTTGCGGATGGTGTAGTCCTTGAAGTTGACGTTCTCGTAGCTGTTGACGTCTGGTGGGCCCTGGCAGTGAGCCGGGTTAGGGCAGTCGGGGGTCTGGGCAGCGGGTGCGGCCATGGCGGCGGCACCGAAGAGAGCGGCGAGGGTGAAGAACTGCATCTTGACTGATTTGAGAGGTCTGGTGGTGTTGATAGTTGAAGTGTTTGGAAATTAACTGCTTGGATGATGAGTACAAGATGTGGTGGCTGGAGCCGTACTTATATCTCTGCGAAGATCTTCATTACCATCTCAACGTCACTTAGTCGAGCGCTCGAGCAACAACCAACAATGCTCATGGATTCGGTCATACCTCCTCGTATTTCTCACCGTGGTGGGTTGCATTCGGGCAATGATGTTGCCCCCCGGACGGGCGTGCACCGGCGTAGGCACAAATCTCCGAGCCTAACGTGTGGACCCCTTGACCGCTAACAACTTCTGTGATGTAAGTGGCATTGATCATCGAACAACAAGGCAGGTACCTCGTATACTGCAGTTGCGCATGCTGTGATGGATATTGCGGCTTGATGCATTGTTCTCGTTTTCGCATGTCGGCACGTTGCCCAGGTGAGCTCTGCATTGACTGAGACGTCTGTGGTCGTGAATTCGTTCACCGCAACTGCTCCTGTAAAGAGCCAGCACATCGACGTGGAAACCACCTTGGCATTAGTGATGCAGGAACCACCTGCGAGCGGTGACATTTTTGGGTCCGCGAAGCTGAGCCTCAACTTTGGTATGCAGGGTGCCGGAGCCGCACGCCACACCCGCTGACGCCACAAGCAGCGTGGCCTACGAGGCTGGCAGTTGACGTAACGTGGGCTTCGCTGTTTAATCGAGCGCCACATTACATCAGTTTCCGTTCGCAAATGCGAATCCGGTCGGCATGACCGTCGTGGTGAGTGCGCAAGCCCAGTTCCAAAAATAGTGGCACCTGCGTTGCACCTAGCGACGGTATGCATGATGGGAAAAACACCTCAACCTCGTGTGGTGTGTTTCGTGTTAGGAGGCGTTTGTGGAGCGCATGTTTGTTGAGACTTTCGATAGTGCGACAAGTTTGCGGGCCCCTAATCTAAAAATGGCATGATGTCATTGGGCACGCTGTGCAAGACTCGAAAGTTCGATGTCAATGTCTATGGACAACACACTGAACGTGGAAACATACGCGTGGAATGCTTTTTCTCGTGCTGGCAGCTCTCAAGATAGCACATCCGTCAAGGTAACGAGGAACGGTTCGTGGTCGCTCTGAACACGCCAGAATAAGCGTCTCGGCAGTAGGAAACCGCGCTTTGCTGAGACGCGACCTAGCACTGTAGGTTGTTATCGCTACCAAACAACTTGCGCAGCTACTGCGCAGTCGAAAGGACGCTCATCGGGGCTATCAACGCGAACACTGTTGTATCACCTGACAATATTGTGGGGAGCAGGTTCGAGAAGTCGCACCGAATCAACAACTGATGATCGCAATCTTGTGTACGATAACCATCCCAACCTCGCAAGTATCAGCGACCTTCCTCGACAGTTGTACGGGATACTTGCTCTCAGAAGGCGGTACACTTCTCCGCACAAGTCGTGTCCAGTCGCATATCATTCAGGCAAATTCCGTGTTGATTGCAGGCATAAGCGATGTTGTGGAACTGGGTGAAGGAGGATAGGTAGGTCGACTCTGCTATTGTGCAAGCGCAGCCCGTCTCACAACGATGATTGCATGTTCAGAGAATGGAGACAAAGACGCTATGTGGAAGTGGCAAGAGCGAAGAGGCGTATATGTAGAAGATCGTTGCATCGTTTGGTTATGGTATGACTACTGTTTTGCTAGAACGAGACAAGCACACCAGACAAATGAGAGGGTATATAACATGCTTGTTGCGACCTTTTTGAACGCCGGAACACCATGCATGAAGCTCGCTAACAGCAAAGGAAGTAAAGCAAAGAAGATGAGAAGAGCGTGAAATATGCGCTGCATTTAGTGTCGCCAAAGAGTTGACAATCGGCGCTCTGTCTTGACGCCGCGGTCTTCCTCGTTGCGGGGTCTGAGTCGCGAGAAGGGCGCTTTGAAGGCGGTCGGAATCTTGGCCATGGATGGCGAAGTAGGACCTGTCGGTGATCCAGGATTGGTTCGTGCTTTTTGTTGTGTGAGAGTCGCTTTGTATTGCTCCCAGTAGCCGGTGGGTGTCGTGCTCACAGGCGTGGAGAACCTTGAATCTTTCGCCGGCGATGTGGCATTATCCAAAACTGACGAGGTAGATTTGGATCTGTTTCGATACGGAAGATTGGGTCTCTTATCGGCAATGAGAGCGCGTGCCTCTTCGGCAGTGAAAGTGGGTCGTGTGTCGGGAAACAGATTCATACGGGGTCGGGTGGGCGACGGCGGAGTGGAGACAGCCATACCAATGGTTGAGTCGACTTGGGAGTTCTCATGGACATCATGATTGACTTCTGACTCGTTCTTCTCGAAACCAAACTCAAAGTCGGCTTTAGGGGACTGTTGTCGTAGGAGAGGATGTATATGGCTTTGTGCCGTGAGTGACATAGTGCCAGGTGACTCAAAAGAGACAAGTCCACCCAGAAGCCCATTCTCTTCTGCAGCGCTGACCTTACGAGTAGGGCTATCCACAGATGCGCTGGACTTAGATGAAACCACACTCGCGCCTTCGCTCCATAGGGAGCTTGCTGTAGAGCTAGTACTGTCTGAACGGCTAGGAGGCTCCCCAGTGCGCGCCAGGTACAGTGGATATGTGGCACGCTCGAGCTGAACAGAATCAAGTAGGGGTGTTCGGGGACGTGCGGCCGTGCTTGCTGTAGAACCCTGCCTACTACGAGTGACTGAGGGTGTTCGTGATCGGAGCCAGGAGGTATCCAGTCCAGCTCCGCTCTCTGCAGTGATTGCCGTGGAATGCTCGGAATAAACAGAAGAGGTCTGGCGAGCGTGATCTTGCGGAAATGGGACAGAGTCTTTCGATCTGTCGCTAGTTTCCTGAACAACACAAGCAGGCTTCTGTGTAGTTTTCATTGTGAGGCTGTTGCTCCGCGAGCCTCGAGTAGAAAGTGACCGTCGCGCTAGAGAACGCACAGAGGACGAACGAGGTAGTTGGGATATCCTAAGGGGCGCAACCTCCATGGATCCACGTCGACTCATGTTTTGCGGCGTAAAGTAATCTTCCCTTTGGCAGTCTGGCTCTATCGAATATAGACTGCTTTGAGAGTCATCAAGACCTTCGTCGATGGCCACTGGCGTCTTAGCTGCAGGTGACGCCAAAGGAGTCGTAGCAACGCTATTGGTAGTCGAGGTGGGCTCCGCAACGTAGCACAAAGCGTACTCCGGGCTTTCAGTATCGCGAACTTCTTTTGGCGCCCTCAGAGCGGACACAAGATACTGGAGAGTGCCATAGATCAAGAGCCACCTGACTTTACGCGCATCTGTTGCTGATACCTTGCCCTGGCGTTGACTGGGGCTGGTAGCATGCGCCTTCTCAAAGTGGATATATGCCTGCACGATGTTGGACTCCATCGCACTGGGCTCTAAAACGTTCGTTGCCGCTGCTAGAGCACCATGCATGGTGTCCTGTACATGCGTCTTGTTGTACTGCGAGGCCAGAACCAGCTGTCTCAAGGCCTTTTGAGAGTTCGTTTTCTGAGAATTTGTTCTCTTCAGTGGCGAAGTGTATGTTGGTAGGAGAGGTAACGGGTGCGGCTGAGACTTGAAGCCATGTCGTTGATCGAACGTTGCAATGTTCTGCAAGACACAGATGCCACCGCTAGCTGGTCTTTGGGAGGAGATATCGGCAGTCGAGTCGGTGTCTACGAGGTAGTCGTACAGGTTCTGGAAGTCATAGTACATAGACTTGTACAGAGCTTTCGGGAAAGCGGCACCCCGTGGTGGTGGCCAATAGCCAAATTTGTCCACGTAGAAGGTATGCAAGAAGCGGCGGAACCGATCGAGATGGCTCCTAGCACCGTCCGTCAATCCGAGGTGAGTCGGCGAGAGGTCTTCCTGTAGAAACCTGCTCAGTGCGGTCGATACGCGCCCGAGATGGCCGTCAACTTCGAGATGTGCGCGGGTGATCAATGCTTTAGTGAGCTTCGAAGTCAGCTACAATATGTTAGTACAGCAGCCTGAAGCAGTTGACGAGTTTCATACAACGTATTCCGGACTGAGAACTAAGCTGTCGCTCATACCGACGCAGTGGGAAAATGCATCGACCCAGATGTCTCTAAGTTTGAAGTGCTCTGCGTAGTAGAGGCTTGCAAGAGCATAGTCCGTGCACTCCACCAGATCCCGGTACCCTTGGTTCTCAGCGTAGTCCAGAAAGTCTTGGTGGTTGTTTGGATGACTTGGACGGAAGTGGTGTAACCGTTCCTGGACGTCTACGAATGCTTGGCCCATATGATCGCCTACGAGTGGTTTACCCAGAAGGAAGGCAAAGAAGTTGCGAGTCGCAATGTGCCGTCTAAATGAATTCTCTCGTGATAATTCCTCCGGAACCGGGATGAAGAGCTCGACGATGCTGTGTTCCCCATTGGCGTTGGTAAGGGAGCTGGGCATTCGCCTCAGGTGCTGGAAAGCGGATCCCGGAGCAGACGCGATCTGCGCATCACATAGCTGGAGCATCGCCTCACACTTCTTCTGTCGTAGGAGTCTGAACGGAATGCAGAAGGACGGGCCACGACGCGAAACTCCTTTCGCGTGTAGATGTACGAGGCAGTCTCCTTCCTCATACCACAACTCTGGATCCTTCGGGCTTGTTAGCTTAGCTTCCACATGAAAGCTTCGTACATACCCTGCGTAGTCCATGATCCCAATCGCTCACAGTACGGGTCAAGCCTGACCAGCGTTGTACTTTGGTTGGATGCATCGGCTTTGAAGGTGTAACAAGGCAGCTGGCGGACCTTGGTCGCGTTTCGGTAGCCCTGAGAGATCCCTTGCCGGTGCTATCTTCTACTAATGTAGAGGCAACGCGATCGCCAACCGCGAAGCTATGACGTGCGGCTGTAGGTGGGCTGGTATGGTGAGGTAGTGTAGATCCACTTGTCGATGCCGCGGAGACTACCTGATTCAAGGTCCTAGGGTCATCGAGACAAAGGGTGCGAGAAAGGGACGATGTGCGGGCGGGGATTAGATATCCATGAGGCTCTTCCCCAATGCTAGCCTGACAAGACGGGATCGCTTCCGAAGCCATGCTGATCTAAATAGGAGTGTGCATGTGTAGTACCACAGACTGAGTTGCTCAACGAGCGGCGGCAGGGATGCCTAGTCTGCCGTGATGGAGTCGAAACTAAGCAGAAGTCTGTCGCAGCCGGGCGTGGGACAAAGCAACTATTGTATGTCGACAAACCCTTGTCGCGCCCTCAGCTGTCGTGACGGCTGGGACGCGTCGCCGTCCGGCTCATGATGGCGTCTTTTGGTTGGCGAGGCTGCGTCTTGCGAGCCCGATTGAGCGTCTTGATGGGGCGATCTTGCCCAGATGGGGGATCGACCGCTCGTGGCTTGCGCGGGCTGCTTTCCTAGCGTCAGATATCTAGCTGTCAAGCATTTGTCTTTCGATCCAGATCATGTAGTCACTGCAGTCGTCGTGATAAGTTGTGTTCGAGACCGACGAATTTGCATTCACCGCGCTCAGCCTCAGGATGCCAATGCACGGAGCTGAGACGTGTTCAGCCCAGATCTCACAAGCCTCAGTACAGTAGAGCATATGCGGGGAATTAGACGTTTCTGGGAATCTGAGAAGAGTTCTCGGATGGCACGGTGCCGGGCGGTACTGGGCAATTTGACGATCTCGCCAACTGAGGGGTGGCGTTCTTGTGGCATCGCAAGGGAACCTCACCTATCGCCGACTCCAGCGTCGGAGCGATCGGTCAACATGGATGCGTAATGTCGGACTTCGCGGGGATCAGATATCGCGTTCGACACGTACAGCAGAGTCGTTCATGCTATCATGCGAAGCGCGACGAATGACACGTCGCGTCGAGAGGTTGGGTGGGGAAGTCGTGGCGTACGCCATGATCGTCGCCCAAGGGTGCTCGGCTCTCCTCACTGCGCTTGCAGCTGGCATCCTTCGTCCACGCATCACAACTCAATCCGCTGCCATAGGCCTCCGATCGCACCAGCCGCCTGCCCATCGACGTCCCGCGTTTTCTCTGTTGACATCGTCTTGAAGATGCTCGAGTGGCTCGGTGACGATGGCCGCTGGCCTGTCCCCGCTTAACCACATTTCTTTTCTGGTCACGGAAACTCTATCAAGTACAGCAAACACATGCTGAATTCACACCGCAGGTTTTATAATCATATCTCGTATGCTGCTGATCATGAAACACAGGATCTTGAGCACGGCATCAGCATCTGCGTTGGGGGCGTGCTCGTCTTGACCTACCACGCTGACGGTCGTGCCACCGCCATGTATGAGAATTTAGTCCTAAGGCTATGACCACTGCAAGTACGCATTGCTTGGCGCCTTCAAAACGTCCCGAGCGCACGGCATGCGGCAACAATACCCAGGCCACCCGAGACAGTCTTCCCGCCATACAGTCTCGTCCAAGGCATACTACCACACGAATCTGCTCGGACAATTTCTCGAGGTCCACAAGTCTTGGGCCAGCAGATTACATTGTGCAGCATTGCTGTAGCTAGGGAAAATGTTTGCTTTGACACGCAGGACTCATGCATTACAAATAAGCACTTTGCATTGCATATGCTACCGCGGCCACCAGCTAATTCCCCGGCTCTAAGTTATGGGTGTACGACCAGACGATCGATGACCATGCGACCAGATGGAGTATGCAGGTGACCCTTGACTGCATATGTACAATCGCAACCGCGCGTCCTTTTCCCCCATCAGTGAGCATCCCGCTTCTGCGGACACGATGCAATCTTTATGAAGCACACCGCATTATGCATTACTGCTGCAGATGGAGCGCATCCTATCTTTGAACGCTTTGTTGACAGGAATCTGGAGCTATCATCTTAATGTGAACAGTATCTGGTCGTTTGCTTCGTTAGACTGTCTCACTCATCTCTAGGCCTGGATGTTGTGGTAACAAGCAGCTTCTTCGACTTTCGCAGCACCATGGAGGTATCTGTGGTGCCTCACTTTGCAACGAGTAGGCTGCTCTGAGTCAGTAAAGCTTCTTATCCTCAACGTCTTGCCCAGTTGCTGTGTCAGGCGTCACACTCGGAGCTGCGGGCTCGCACTTCTCACTGCCAGCTTCCATCTCGACAGCCCCCTCTCTGGATTTTCTTCGATCACTTCGTTTAAGTGCAACGTCTTTCTTAATGTTTCCATTTCAACATTTTGTTTGCTCTTTACAATGGTTTCACCCTCACTCGTCCTTTCCAGGGCGGTTGCCTTGCGCTTTCCTCCATACAATTCAAACAGGAAACCACGCTAGTAAAGTGAGCGCGCTTGTCCAATCATCGCAGAGCGCAAATCACGCTCACCACGACTCTAATCTCCCCAAGCAGTCGACACATCACCTGTATTAATAAATCAGACTTTGACAATCACTATTTCACATCAGCCTCAGCTCGACTACTCTCGCGATTCTCTCCCAGTCGTTCGAACTATCACCAACATGAGTAGCACCGGCAGCATTAGCAGCGAGGCGAGCATAGCGCGGAGTGCCGACAAGGACGACACAAGCGACAGCTCGTTGCACTTTCCCGACACAGAACCGACAGATGACAAGGAGCAAGTGGAAGGCAATGAATCCATAGTCGACGGGGCTGGTCGCAAGGAAGATGCGTCTGACAAGGAGCAAGAAACAAGCGCTACGATCGATGATGCGATCGCATCCCACAACGAGAGGATCGGCCTGGATGAGGTGAGCCTGGAGGGTTTTGCTTCGTCAGTCACAGTAACTATCCATTGTTCTGCATGCGTGGTACCTGACTAACCCTGTATCAGCCTCAGCAACTCTGTCTGGTTGCGGATAGCATCCTCGGCTCTATGAGTGAAGTGGAAACGGCCATGCTTCAGCTTCATGAATACGTCAAGACCGAGAACCAAGACCGCAAGCCGATCCACCAGTGGGCCAGATTCGAAGGCTACCGCGGCATCGATCGTGCGGTTGCCAATCTTGACAAAGCAGGCGCCAAGTTCCAGGATGTTCATCTTCCTGCTAGCTTCGTCAAGACATATCTGAGTCGGGCTACCGAGATGTCACTTACTGTGAGCAAGGCCGCTGTATTCTGCATGGGTGCGATGAACGAACAATTTACCCACTACATCGAGGAGACCAACGTATCGATTGACGCCGAGGCTAAGATTACGGAAGAGCTCAGGAAGCTTCTCAAGCATGGGTCCAAGGCAACCTATAGCGTGTATGCGGCTCTCGATTTGCTCCGCAACAAGCTGCACGTCGATGAGACCAGTCATAGCCGCGATATTCCCATCATCGAAAAGCTGATCGCAGAGAGCGAGGCCCGCTTGAGTGCCTCACGCGAGAGTTCCTGGTGGACTATTGCCAAAGTAGTGCTCGGAGCAGCGACGAGCGCTGTCATTGCTCTCGCAGCAGCGCGCATGTACGGCACCAATGACTTTAGTCTCGCACTCCCGACCGACTCCAACGGCACGCACTATCAGGTCCTTTCACTCGTCCAGCGTGCGCAAGCTTTGACCGACCTCACCGGCGAGCTCTACTCCATCAAAATTGACGATCTAGCTCAGCACTACAAGGAGCTCGAACTCGCCTCTGAGTCTCACGGTCTCCGAATCGACAATCTGGTAGAAGCACTGGGTGTCCCCAACGAGGAGGGTACCTACTTTTCATCGATGCCGAAGCCAGGGATGGGTTGTGCGACAAGGAACGATCATTCCTGCGTTCCAGAGATCATGGCGGATGCTAACCGCCAGACCGAGAAACTGCGTAGCGAGCTGGAGCACATGCGCAAGAACATGCACCGTATGGACATTCGCCTCATGAAGCGCCTCGATAAGGTCGACAAGCGTGGTCTGTAGTAAGCATGAGCAATGCTAGCTCGAGCCACGGTAGTGGACCCTGGTGTTGCTACTGTAAGCCACGACTCCAAAGATAGTGCACAGGGGCACACCGTCTTTTTGCTTCTTTACATGCGCACCAATACGGTGCAGGGGTGGATCTGAGCGCTCGCATGCGTTGTCGTTACATGGCACTCCTGCATATAGCTGGAACATGTACGGTGAAATGGGCTGTCTTGCGAACTTCGGTCTACTGTGTAGCAAATGAAACCCCCGTCAAACTCATGTACAGTCTTCACAGATGGACCCATCTGGGTTTCTCTTGACCTCTACACTCTCGCTCGTTTGACCCTGCTCTTGCTTCACCTCTGTCTCTTTCTTCGTGTCTTCTGTCTTGTCTTCCTTCTTTTTTCCATGCTTGTCGGAATGTCCCAAGTCTCGTGATGGATCGATATGATCTCGTACTAACTGCTTCAAGACCTTCGTTTCTGCGACATATTAGTCTCGTTGCATCTTACAGGCATGAACTGGTACAACAAACCTGGGAAGCCTCCCTCAGTCTTTCTATCCCAAAGCAGCACTTTCTTGGCTTCAACATTCTGACCTTCTTCCG